CAACTCCCTGAGGGCTAGGGCCTGGCCTATTTTGCTTGCCATTGGCATTCCCAGTGCTTAGGACAGTGGCTGGCATATAGTAGGTGCTCGATGAATATTTGCTGAATGAAAGTCACGTTTCAGAAGAGAAAAGGGCTATTTGGAACGTCATGAGGTGTTTGTGAGGTTCTTAGAAATGACTAGATAGTAATATCATTCATTTTTATTTGAACATAAAACATCCATATGTTCAATAATGTCGTCCACCAAGTATAAAGAAGTCATCCATATGGAGAGAGATTAGGGAGTTGATGTCACTCGCTTTTGCATATTCACGAATCTCCATAAACAGCTATTTAATGAACAACGAGATTTTCATTGAAACCTCTTTCCTGCCTTCTTTACCTTCGAACCAGATCCTCTACTCATGCTTCTCAAAAACCCTGGAAAACTGTAGTTGTCCCTTCGGTGGTTAGTATTTGGCAGGCTTGCAGTGCTTAGCGTGATACTAAGGATGCGTGTTGGGATTGTGCTCCTTGTCCCTTTACTGCGCTTTCCCCCCCCCATAAAAGAGCTCAGAAACTTTTCACAAATTACCGTAATTACCTGGATGTTGCTTCCCAATGTGAAGGTTGTAGGAACAAACGTAGAAGGGTCCTCTCCGCCTCTGCCTGTTCTGCTGCTCGTTTACTGAGAAAAGGAGGATCCCACAGCGGAAGACCATCCTGAGTAATAAGTAAACTTCCACTGCACCTTCCGTTTCATCCATTCTCTTAAATCAGCAGAAAGAACATTTTCTGATTAGCAGTGAGTGAACACAGAAGCAATAAACCTTCTTCATGTCAGGTGATAATGGATTTATGCTCACAGGTGTCTGAGAATTTACCTGTGTAGCACAATAGGTGACATTTAACCAAACTTAGAAAGAAAATAAACACCAAATACCTGAATGCGAATGCCTTTCGTAGGAAAATATTTAAAATTTGTCTCTCAACAATACAGTTGCTCTGAGGAGCCAATGACTGACTTTTGCTTCATTTCTGTAGGACTCAGAGGAGGAGGAAAATGAGCTGGAAGCTATCAACAGGAAGCTGAGAAGCTCACAGCCATATGTACCTGTGGAGTTCGCTGACTTCAGTGTTTACAATGCCAGCTTGGAGAACAGGGAGTGGTTTTCTTCTAAAGTAGATCTGACAAACTCACGGGTCTTGGAGAAAGAAGTGTCCCGTAGCCCTACCACCAGCAGTATTACCAGTGGCTACTTTTCCCACAGTGCCTCCAATGCCACCCTGTCTGACATGGTGGTCCCTTCTAGTGACAGCTCAGACCAGCTGGCCATTCAGATGAAGGATGCGGACACCCGTGAGCATTCCGGACCATCGCTTGTTCCTGAGTGCAGACTGTCCTCAGACAAAGAGTTGACAGAACTAGAAAGAGGCTTGGTAAAGGATAAGTTGATCATGGTGCCACTCAAGGAAACCAGTGCCTTAGCCAAAGGGAGCCCATCATCCCACAGCATCCCTGAGAAAAACTCCAAAATCCTGTGTAGGACTGGCTCGTGTTCAGGACTAGATGCCTGTCCCAGTGAAAAAGGCCCACCGGCCAGGGAGTTCTCCCCCAGGGAGGTGACCATTGAACACACCACCAACATCCTGGAGGATCATTCTTTCACAGAGTTCATGGGTGTGTCCGAT